TAGAACACAAGCATGGTTTCTCTTTACCAAAATGTAGAGCATTTGACTAGCTTTCCAATGTATCCACCTTATGTAACACCCCACTTCCCCAAATCAATTAAAATATAAACATTATAAATAAACATCAGAGTTCTTCCACCCAAAGTGGGATATCACATCATAACAATCTAACAATACTTCATTAAAAATGTTTTCACCAAAATACAGCGGAAATTGTTCATACAACAAAATACATCAAATTCATGATACGTCACAGGAAAAGAAATAAGTTTAACAAAACAACTAAAACACCCAAGTCCCATGCTACGTATCAGAGCATCCTAAGACTCGACTAGCACACCACAAATCCAAGCCAGCTAAGTACCTAGATTATCTGCACTTCCGAAGAAGCACATACCACAACAACAGCAAAGGGGTGAGAAAACATGACCAAAATATATCGGTAATTACATACATGAAATAAAGGTAGTAACTACAACAGTCGTATCAATCATCACCCAACATTCACCAAACACGACATATAGTCCACCAACGACATAATTCATTATAATGAAAATATGCAACACAACATCATGCATGCGGTACCGACTCATTGGTTCATTCCATGTGAACCCGGATAGATCACATACACCCACCCTTGGCCATGATCCGTCCCCACCAATTCCCCACTCAAAGGAATACGAATGAATCACATACACTCCATCGAACAATGACTCATTCCACCAACACTTCATAATATGCATGACACCAAATGCATACAAATTAACACAAGCATACATTGTGCATACGATTCTCAGATCACACCACCATACATCACATATACATAGTTATATCATACACCAATCAATCGGATACTTATATAAAGTATTAAGGAATTCACTTCCTATCACTAAATACGCAATCTCCATCATTCAATCACCATCCCTGCACTTACCATGATCAAAGGGATCCTACAAAGCTAACGCACAAGGCAAAACAACACAAAACCACATTCTGCCATCACGTTCGCTGAACCATTCGCCAGGCGAAGCCCCGCAGCGAATGCTCGCTATGGCTCGCCAGGCGAACCTGCTGGTGAATCCTCGCTGGCCACATTCTCCAGGCGAACTTTATACCCTTTAGGTCTGGGAGTTTATTTGTAACTACTCGCCACTGCTCGCTAACACTCGCCAGGTGAACCCTCGCTAACCTTCGCCAGCCGAACCTTCGCCAACACTCGCCAGGCGAAACCCAGCGAATGCTGCGATACCCCAAAATCTCCACTGTTCTACAATGCTATCTCAGTCAATTCCAAGCCTAATATGATACCTCTATCTCCTATTCTATCAGTATTACAGACCATAACATCATACTTGCCAATCGACCTATAATTCTTACTCTAATACCAACATCAGATACTTTACCGGCACTCTCAGAGTTACTCAGAACTTGCCCAATCCACATCAACATCAACACCCACACATCAAGGGCAACAGCAAATCATCACATATCATCATATATACACAATTCATCAAAAATCAACAATATCTAACATCATAGCAACAATTCAACATATTCATCAGAATACCTACGGGGTTAAGGAATCCCTTCTACCCTGCTCATGTATATACCATCCCAATCAGTTTCTCCCCTCTTGCCTCGATTATATCTTCGATTGATGAAGAATCCCCTACCAATTGATTGCTCTAGCCTGATTCTCCTTTCTCTTGCTCTTCTCCTCAGAATCGCTTATCGTGTTCTCACTTCTCCCTTCTCTCCACTTTCTCTAACTTCCAAATGTATCGTAAAACCCACTGACCCCTCAATTTCTTATTTTAATTATTTAATCCCAATAATAATAATAACTAATAATAATAATAATACTAATAATAGTAATAATGATAATAATAATAATAATAATAATAATAATAAGACCAATAATATTATTAATCATTATATTACCACCAATATCCTATTATATTATATTATTATTAAATTTCACCTTTTATTAAATAGCTCCTTTAACTTAAGGACACCCACCCAACGCTCTCAGGCACACTCCCACATAAGGGCACCCCAAAATACAATAAACACCAAAAAGACTTAATAATTAAAAATGGGTGTTACACCTTACATCAGTCAGATTTACGAATCTTGTTTTATGGTGGAAACAGGGAAACATGTAATTTCTCAGAGTCTTAAAACTCTCACCTAACGAGGTGCTCGAGCGAGATTTTGCCTAGAGAGGCTCTAACGAGATCAAACAGAATGACATTTTTCTCAAAATTTTTTGTCTCACTTAGCAAAACATGTTCTCACCTAACGAGTATAGCAGAATAAATTTTGCACTCGAAACTGATATGTTCGCCTAGCAAGCAGTTCTCTCGCTTAGCGAGAAAAACAGAGTGCAACCAGTTTAGAAACATAACAGGAAGGGAAATAAGCCACACATATCATCATGTATCATCATGTTGCACCCAATAACACTAATTAACATGGTTTAACACAAATAGGCATGCAAAACAGCAAGATGATCTTGCATCAACATCAATTTCATACACATAGCAAAAATCTACAAAACCTAATTCCCATTTCATGAATCCACCCCCAACCTATGTCTAACAACCAACCTCTATAAGCTGAATATGATGAAATTTTGGGATGAGTTCTTGATGATTCAAGTTTTGATCTTCACTTTCCAAGTTTTTCTCTTTACTTTTCTTATCTTCTTTTCTCTTCTTCTTTCCCTTTTCTCCTTTTACTAACAAAATGATGGAATCAGTGGTATTAGAGAGAGTAGGATAAAATATATAGGTTGGAATTTTTTCCTCTAGTGAATAATAATCATTCACCAATGATACCAAAATATCATTTCTTTTAATAATTGGTAAAAATCAATTGAATTGAGTAATAACTAGTCTCATATGAGTTCACTAATTAATCTATTTGTCTGAATTGACATAAGTAGAGCCTTTAGGAACTCAATATGTCTCAACTGACAAAGAATATAAAATTTAAGAGGATATAGGGTATCACATTCTATCCCCTTAAATAAAAATCCATCCTCAAATTTTAAAGATTTTCCTGGAATATATAAGGGCAAGCTTCTTACATCTCGGACACTATCTTCTAAGTAGCTTTGCCCGGGTGCGATCTTTCCCAAAGAACTTTGATAAGAGGGATCTCCTTATTCCTTAATATCTTAGCTGCACAATCTACAATCTGACTGGGTTGAGGTTTGAATGAAAGACCTGCTTCTAACTCAATGGTATCTATAAGAATACGTTGAATAGTGTCGGGAATGAATCTCCAAAGCTGAGATACATGGAATACATCATATAAATCAGAGAGTGAGGATGGCAAGGTTAAATGGTGTGCTACTTCGCTGATCCTTCCAATGATCTAAAATGGTCCAACATACCTTAGACTAAACTTCTGTGACTTAAAAGTTCATTTCAATCTCAATCTTGGAATAAATTTCAAAAATACATGATTACCTTCTCCAAACTCCAATGGTTTTTGTCTATGATCTGCATAACTCTTTTGACAATCTTGAGCCTTTTTCATTTTCTCGGTATCATCTTTATACTTTCAGTGGTCTCTTGGATAATTTATGGTCTTAAGATTCCTTTATCACCAACCTCTGTCCAACATAGACATGTTCAACATATCCTTCCATAAAGAGCTTCATACGAAGCCGTACCAATACGAGCATGATAATTATTGTTGTATGTGAATTCAATCAATGGTAAAGGATCTTTCCAATTTTCTCCACTTTCAAGTACACTTGCTATGAGCATATCCTTAAAGTATGGATCATCTTCTCAATCTAATCGTCTATCTGAGGATGATTATAAGTACTCAAATACAACTTCGAAGGTGAAATAACAGGTCTCGTTACTATTCCATAAAGGCAGCCACTCTCCTTACTAATGGGGAGTGTTGGGATCCATATCCTCATGTTTCATCCGATTGGGCGAGTAGACGATATAACCAATTTACCCATAAATTTAGAGTCTATACTATATGAATAAAGAGTTATATTCACTTTCGTATATTCAACTCAACAAATTTGTTTGTTCACTCTTATGCAAGCTTAGCTCACCTAATTGTATTTATCACAAATACAACGACCAAGTTATTAGTATATATGTCATACTCTATTGTTTATTTTAATATTTTTAATATAATTTATTAATTTATTTTAATTGTGTGTTTCAGATATAATTGATAACTAATCACTATTTCGTAATCATAATGTTAATTTCATCATATTATATATTATATTTTGCATGAAATTGACTATTTTATCATCTCTTTATTATATTAATTAGTAATTATAATAAAATTTATCGTTCAAAAACCGATTTAAATTAAATTTTATTAAATTAGATCGTATGAGATTAAATTTTTATGTGATTCAAACTAAACTGGATTGTCCTAAATTTTACTTTTGAATTTGATATCTTTTTTTTATCTCAAAACCATTCAAACTATACAAATAACGTTTTAGCTTGTATTTTTTTCATCAGTATGTGATTTATTTGATCAATTAATTCCTTTCGGAGATTAATCATGGCATCAAGTAGTTTCAGTCTCCTATCAATTATAGTGGGAAAGAGTCGAATCATAATTCTTCATATCAAAGTTAAGGTCAATCACCGCTAGACCACCTAACTTTTGTTATTTTAACTTGTATTTTTAACATTAGTATTTTAAACTTTCATTAACTCTTTGATCAATGCTCTTCCACCTTAGTAAGATCTCTAAATTAATAATTGAACTGAATAAATAAATATGGTATTTTTAATAATTGTTATGTTTATGCCTTTATGGAATTTCTTCCTCTACAAGGAAAAGTGGCACAACTAACTAGCATTCGCCACGTTTAAGCGAAATTAAAGTATAGAAAGTGAACAATATTGGGCGATCTTGTGTTTCAATTTCAAAAAACACATTCATTGATCTATACTTTCCAATCACTTCACTTACTATTTCTATTTCCAATTTCAACAATTCCAATGTCGAACAAGCAATTCAACGTCCCTCCAGTGATTTTCCCCATATCCCCAAACCAACGTCGTCCAACAGCACCATTTCAGCCCCGTCCAACCACAAACCCAATCCCCTTCATGTCCTACGAAATAGGCTCCGCAACAACATCATCCTTCCCCCCAGCTCCGAACAATTTCAGTTTCGACCAAGAGCCACCTCTCTTAGAAGAACTAGGAATCAACACGAAACAGATCTGGAATAAAACCACATCGCTTCTCAACCCACTCCGCATCAAAAACCTAGATCTCCATGAAGACGCCGACCTATCAGGACCGGTAATGCTAATAATGGCTTTCGGTCTTTTCCAGCTTTTGGCCGAGAAGATTCACTTCGGGATTATTCTCGGTTGGGTGACCGTTTCGGCGTTGTTTCTTTATGTTGTTTCGAACATGCTCGCGGGACGTAATGGAACGTTGGATATTTATCGATGTGTTAGTTTAATTGGTTATTGCATGTGGCCTATGGTTATTTTGTCTGTAATTTCTTTGTTTCTTCCTCAGGGTGAGTTATATATCTCTGTTATTGCTGTGTTTTTTGTTGCATGGTCTACCAAGGCTTGTACTATGTTATTGGTACATGTGGCTAGGTGGGACCAACATCCTGGGTTACTTGCATATGTTTATTTTCTTATTTATTCCTTGTTCTCGCTTCTTGTTATCTTTTGAACTTCAACTACTCTTTTTGTATATTATCATTCATTCATTAATGTACAGATTTTAACTACTACCACTGCCTTTTGATTTTGAATGCTATCCACTTCTTTATAGTTGAAGCATATAGTATATGGCAGCAAAATAGTTCACCTGGTTATCGAAAATCAAAGAAAAAGAAACATGCTTCCTAGAGCATTTGATAAACAAAGGATTGAGATCTCTTTACAAAGGTTATTCTGTATACTGCTGGTTAGACTATATAGTTGTTCTTGTAAAATCCATTTGATATAGAGCTCGTAAACTTTTCATCCAAACCACTTATGATGAACTTGGTCTTTGGGAATTAAAGTTACATTTTAAATGGCCGAATATACTGAAAACTGAGTGGGGGAGCCTATGGATTCTCTGTTGCGCACTCTCTCCTGTGGTCTCTACAACACTAATTGCAGCCATTAGATTTATGATAATTTTTTTCTTCTTTTTTATAATAAATAGTGTTTATTTATTTTCTCAACCATGAGAATTTTATCTTGAAATTCCTTAAAATAAACAAAATGACCAGGAAAGATTTTAACAAAGTACTCCCTCTATTTTAAATTATAAGTTATTTTGTTAATAAAAAAAATTGTCTCAAATTATAAATTATTTTACAATTTCAATGCAACAATAATTATTTTTTTTCCAACATACCCTCTATCATTTACTATTATTATTTATTTTTTCAATTCTTTAAATTTCTCTTTCATCTATAATAAATGAAGAGTAATATTATAAAGTTGTGTATAATTTATCTTTCTCATACAACATTAATTATGTTTCTTAATTTGCTTAAAGGTCTAAAACGTCTTATAATTTGAGATAGATGGAATAGTTAGTTTTGAGGCTGTTTGTTTCAACAAAAGTACTCCCTCCATTTTCTTTTATAAACAAATTTTTACTTTTTAGGTTCATTGAATAAATGATGTATTTGGACAATATATAGACTAGATACATCAATTAATCAATGAATCTATAAAGTTAAAATTTACTTATAAAAGAGAATGGAGGGATTATGGACCCGTGTAGAGTGAATGGTCACACTTGTTTGAGACAAATTCAAAATGGATCAGTGTTTGATGAAGTTTTTCATACCAAACCCAAAAGGCTTGTTTAAGCCTATAAATTGCTTTATCTAGTTTGAAAAGAAGTGAAGTGTTGGTGTCCATAAAGTTTAGAGGTTGTTTCATATACACTTCATCTTAAAGATCTTTATTTAAGAAGGCATTATTCATGTCAAATTATTGAATCTACCACCTGCTTGAAAGTGCTAATGACATGATTATCCTGATGGTGGTAGGCTTGAGTATAAGAGAGAATGTCTCATAAAATCACACTTTTTGTTGGTAAAATCTTTTTACTACAAGTCATGTCTTATACTCGTTGACAGTCACTCATTTTATTTTTAATTTTGAAAACCTACTTGTGAATAAGATGTTCATCGTCTATTTTAGTTTATTTTATATGAAGGCAAAATCTTATTAAAGAAGAAATATCAAAAAAGCAAAAGTTTGAAATCAAGAACCAATAATTCCTAAGATTATGGATATTTTGGAAGTAAAGGAAATTGATCTTGATGCTAAGATCTAACACGGTGGAAAATACTTCAAGGTGTGAAAGAGCTAGTTGTACCCTTGATTGATAAGAGAAAATATGATAAATCTCTTGTGTCTTTTACTTTCTTGCACTTGATTTTTTCTATATTTTCATTCAAAGTTCATACACTTAATTTTAGAAAAAATAAAAAGAGAAGAACCATCGCTTAACAACGATAAAAATTCATAAAACCTATTTCACCCCCTTTTAGGTTGCACTCTCATACTTACACCACTTGCATCCAAATATTACTTATGTGATAGAAGTGAAATCAATATGCATGTTTCATTCTTCTCAATAGAGTTTTATTCCGACTGCATAGCATTGAACCACTAAGTTTGAAACAGAGCTTGTTTAGTAGTGGTGGGTTGTAAGTATACAAGGAATGTTTTTGGCTTAGACTTGCTTGTTTTAGCTCTTATTAGCATGTAATGGTTGTTGATAAGAAGAGTGGAAGTTGGAGGTTGACTGTGGAATGAGTATGAATAAGAATCTGTAGTGTGAAATATGAGTGGGGTTGTGGAAGTTGTACTTTCTTGAGATACCTTGTGCTGGAAGTTACTTGCAGAGCCAGAGTTGTTAGGAGTAGGTGTGCAACTTGGACCTGAGTTATTTTGTACTTATGATAGTCGAGATATCTATCTTCAGTGTTGGATGAGATGGTCGGTAAGATCCTGCCAGAACACATAGATCGACCCGTGATAAATGTCGGAGGGCCGGGTTGGTAACCCGCCGTAACGGTTAAAAAGGAAGCCCATTAATGTTTTGACTGGTGTTGTTTAAAGTCCAATTGATATTGGCGTCTCCGTTTGATGGTTATCCCCATTTGAAGTCTAGTAACATTTTGACTGGCGTTCTGTGCAAAAATCTAATGGGTACAGGTGTTGTGGATTAGGTTGTCACCTTATCCTCAGTAAGTCTGGTAATGTTTTGACTGGTGTTGTTCAAAGTCCAGTTGTTATTGAACACTCGGTTTTTGTCGTTACCATATCCTCTTAAAAGTCCAATGGTCATTGGCACCATTTGTCTCGGGATGGCTAGTAGTTACCAATATCCCCTGTAAATCTCAGGACGCTCGACTGTTATCAACATTCTTAGAGCATCTTAGGATGTTTTTGGTTGTCACCTACACCTCCCGTTATTTCCTAAAGATCCCATTCGAACTCTTCGCTATAAGGAAATTCTCTGTTTGTTTGGTTTAATCCCCAGGGAAGATTTTATGTCCCCCTGGATCCCCCAGGCAGTCTAATTGTTACCGGCTCCCTATTGATTTTGCTTGTTTGTTCGTTACCAGATTCCCCTGTGAAGTCTAGTTGTGATTAGCAATAGGCCGGTCGTGGAACCCTATCTAATACTGCTAATTGGTAGTTACAAAACTTTAGTCGATTACTAATTTTGTAGCGTATCCTTAAGATCTGGTGTTTACCTGAATCTACACCTTTGGTCGATGTCCAGTTTGTTAACTGACTCCATTGAAAGTCCAGTGGTTACTGACATTGCTTGAAATCCAATTGTTATTGGTATTACCGTTTTGGTCGTCACCAATCCCTAGAAAGTCTAGTAGTCACTGGCATTTAATTTTTAAACAAACTGTTATTCTTATCCTTTAGTGAAAGACCAGTGGTTATTGGAATTGTTCAAAGTAGTTCTCTCGCTTAGCGAGAAAAACATAATGCAACCAGTTCAGAAACATAACAGGAAGGTAAATAAGCCACACATATCATCATGTTGCATCCAATAACACCAATTACCATGGTTTAACACAAATAGGCATGCAAAACAGCAAGATGATCTTGCATCAACATCAATTTTATACACATAGCAAAAATCTACAAAACCTAATTCCCATTTCACGAATCCCCTCCCCCCCAACCTATGTCATAACACCAACCTCTATAAGATGAATATGATGAAATATTGGGATGAGTTCTTGATGATTCAAGTTTTGATCTTCACTTTCCAAGTTTTCTCTTTCCTTTTCTTATCTTCTTTTCTCTTCTTCTTTTCCTTTTCTCCTCTTACTAACAAAATGATGGAATGAGTGATATTAGAGCGGGTAGGATAAAATATATAGGTTGGAATTTTTTCCTCTAGTGAATAATAATCATTCACCAATGATACCAAAATATCATTTCTTTTAATAATTGGTAAAACACAGTTGAATTGAGTAATAACTAGTCTCATATGAGTTCACTAATTAATCTATTTGTCTGAATTGACATAAATAGAGTGTTTAGGAACTCAATTTGTCTCAACTGACAAAGAATATAAAATTTAAGAGGATATAGGGTATCACATTCTCTCCCCTTAAATAAAAATCCATCCTCAAATTTTAAAGATTTTCCTGGAATATATAAGGGCAAGCTTCTTACATCTCGGACACTATCTTCTAAGTAGCTTTTCCCGGGTGCGATCTTTCCTAATGAACTTTGACAAGAGGGATCTCCTTATTCCTTATTATCTTAGCTGCACAATCTACAATCTGACTGGGTTGAGGTTTGAATGAAAGACCTGCTTCTACCTCCATGGTGACTATAAGAATATGTTGAATAGAGTTAGGAATGAATCTCCAACGCTGAGATACATGGAATACATCATATAAATCGGAGAGTGAGGATGGTAAGGTTAAATGGTGTGCTACTTTGCTGATCCTTCCAATGATCTAAAATGCTCCAACATACCTTAGACTAAACTTCTGTGACTTAAAAGTTCATTTCAATCTCAATCTTGGAATAAATTTCAAAAATACATGATTACCTTCTCCAAACTCCAATGGTTTTTGTCTATGATCTGCATAACTCTTTTGATAATCTTGAGCCTTCTTCATTTTCTCTAGTATCATCTTTATACTTTCAGTGGTCTCTTGGATAATTTAAGGTCTTAAGATTCCTTTATCACCAACCTCTGTCCAACATAGACATGTTCGACATCTCCTTCCATAAAGAACTTCATACGAAGTCGTACCAATACTAGCATGATAATTATTGTTGTATTCAAATTCAATCAAGGGTAAAGGATGTTTCCAATTTTCTCCACTTTCAAGTACACATGCTTTGAGCATATCCTCTAAAGTATGGATCGTCTTCTCAATCTAATCGTCTATCTGAAGATGATTATAAATACTCAAACACAACTTCAAAGGTGAAATAACAGGTCTCGTTACTATTCCATAAAGGCAGCCACTCTCCTTACTAATGGGGAGTGTTGGGATCCATATCCTCATGTTTCATCCGATTGGGAGAATAGACGATATAACTAATTTACCCATAAATTTAGAGTCTATACTATATGAATAAAGAGATATATTCACTTTCACATATTCAACACCCACAAAATTGTTTGTTCTCTCTTATGCAAGCTTAGTTCACCTAATTGTATCT